AGATCCAACACTGGGCACGATCCACTGGGAGACCCCACTGGACTCCCGCTGGTCCGCCCCCCTTGACGGCCCAGTGGGGAGAACTACACCATGCAGTAGGTTTGGGAGTTACCAGGTGAGCTGGCCATTGTTGCGAGATTCTGTCCTTTAGATTTTACAGATATTGTTCTTTCGAGGATCTTAGGTCAAGTTGGAGCGCTCATGAAAAAGGGCTCGTTGGCCAATATGGCCGAGCAGCACTGGTACTGCACGGTACTGCAAGTGATATTCCTGGAATATCAGAGCTGTTGTTCCTTATATTATATTCCTGTTTGTTTCTGTTCGGAAAGCCCCATCTTTTGTCTACCCACAGATCTACCCACAGCCCCTCATGCCGCCAACATCGACTCCGACCCCGAAGATCGAAAAACCGGCCGCGCGCGAGGCAGAGATTTGGTTCTTGCGCGCTCTGGCGAAGAATAAGCTCTCGGACTACATGGGAGCTATGACCGACTTGGCGCAAGGGATTCGCTGCGACCCGCACACCTATCAGGCGCCCGCACACCTATTGACGTGTGGCACAGGTGGAGAAACCGGGAGGGTTTGGTGTATTTCAAGGTCGGAGGCGATTTGCCATTTGATCTTTGTTTTGTGCGGAAGCTTTGTGGTCCAAAGTATCAAAAGCCAGTGGAACACATCCAACAGCCCAGAACCAGACATCCGTCCCTCTCAGCATAATGCCATGTTCATGCATGTTCATGCCATGTTCGGATGAATTTGAGCAGGTGTTCCACACTCAAAGTGGCCTAGAACATCCTAGAACCAAAGGATCCAAAGGCAACTAGAAGCAGAACAAGTCAGTCTTCAAAGTCATGCTGCGGTCTTTGAGACTTTGAGATCTATATGTTCAATCATTGTCGGCTTTGTGGTCCCTGGAGAACCAGCCCTGGAGACCGACGTGTTTTAGACCCATCCGTCGTTCGGACCGAAGAGATCCACCAGGCTCTGGAGACCCGAGCGCAGATACAGCTCCGCCAAGGCGGCCGGACAGACGGGGCGACAGAGAGGTCGGAGGACAGAGACGTCCCACTCAAAGAAGTGCACCTTTTCCTGAGACATCCCCGTAACAATAGGCTCTTCAATAAAATCTAGGGGGGTCATGGTATGGCATAAAACCTTTTATGAGATGGTCCCTTATGGATACTATTTGATACCTACTAAAAGGATCCAAAAAGGATGTGCCTCATGAACGGTTGCTTTTCACCGACTGGCGTTTAATCAGTGTGTCCCTTTGCTTGATTTTTCGGGTGGTACATCTGTGGGTATGTCCAAACTCAGACGGGATATCAGAGTTTTGACCAATGCCTCTCCTGTAAAAAAACAGACAGTGTCTCGCGCTAGATCTTACGTTTTCAGGGCTGCAACCTGTTCAAGGCACGCTCCGGCTTCGCTCCAACGCTCTGCTCGCCAGGTCGCTATGAGGAAGTGATTGAAGAGTGCAGTGAGGCAGCAGTTTGCAGTAAACGGCTCCTTCTCGACCGTGTTCTCGACTTCGGAAGAGTCATGAAACCGAAAGGAAGAGTCAAGAAACAGAGCGTCACAGATGACCAGAGACGTCGAGGTTTTACCATCCGTTCGACCAGCCGAAAGCAGATCTGAATGTTCAGGTCATTCCTATCATGCCGGAGCCTGCCGAACTCCTGCTTCAAGCTCGGGAGTGTCCCGCGTGTCTTTCTTCGTTTCTTCCCGGTGTGTTTTCGGGCAGCTCGGGAGTCCTTACTGAGGTGCTGTCGTGGTCAAGCTTACTTTCGCAAAGGCCACTTTCGAAGCACCCAGCTCAGGTGCTCTTCAGCTGGTTTTTTTGAAACGGTTGCAACCGTAGTACTTGCAGCATTTGGACTCCACGCTGCCTGTGTATTGTATTGATGTGTATTGTAGAATGAGCGATTCTGAACAGGTGAAAAACTGGCATCCCATGGCCGTCTTTTTGGTTCCAAGATGTTCCAAGCCCTGAATGGAACACGGCGTAGCAGTCTAGTATAGTCTACAGTCTAATGCTTTCATAGGGATGTTCATGAATTTGATTTGTCTGACGAGTTTTGCATTCGTTTGTGATTGCTAGAGTTTGCTTGTGACACGACATGGTCCAAAATTTGTCATTATAGATTTATTGGTCCATAACTGTCTAAATACTCTTTAAGTGACCAAAACATCGCCGAAAAAAGGAGTTTGTGTGCCACAGCTGCGTTTCTCATTGATTCCCCTGGGCCCATGAAGGTGGCCAAGCACCTCGGCTCGCTAATTCCACGTTCTCGCCGCGAAACGTCGGTGGGCACCGAGGCGCGCTGGAGGACTTTCAGAGTTCGCTGCAACACGAACCCAACAGTGCGGCCCTGAGTGGGGAGAAGCGGTTCGGTGGTCACCTGCGTTTCGGCGGAAGGAAATGAGACGGTGGTCGGGGGGACAGAGCGGATGAGAAAAGCATAGAAAAGCCATGTTCCTTCAATTCAGGGGTTGGGGTGGTATGATGGTTGTTCATTGCGGGTTGAGTGATGCTGTCAATACAAGTTCAACAGATATAGACAGATGGCATGTCCAGCATTCTTAAAGATTAAAGAAAGGACATATTGAGATGCGCCCTCCCGTCTTTCTTACGCTGATGATGTTTGTCCAATAAGACCCGAAAGCTTATAAGCTGATTCTTGTATTCACATGTATTCACGGACATTGTTCCACTTGTAAGTGCCCCAAGCGCCCTTGAAAGCATAGCTTTGGTTGAAGTCGTCCATATCGATCAAAAACAACAAAAACATATGCACACGATTCATCTCTAGTCTCGTGATTCAAAGGAAAAGCGCTTCCATCTGAAATCGAGCGCACCAAGTAAGTTGAGAAGCAAATGCACAGTAAAGTCAGTTTGGAGACCCAAACACACTTAGAAACTGCTAGTGTAACTGCCATGGCGGGAATTTGCACGGGAGGCTGCATCCATTTGAAGCGTGATCAGTTTTGGGATCGAATGTCAGTGCTGCAGTTACCAATTGTTGTTTTCGGTGTTTCATGTCTACGGTGTTCGATCGCAATAAGACCTGGCTCGCCAATGAAAGACCGGGGGAAGACCGTCTCGATGCAGTCTTGGCTTTGAATCGGTTGGCCAAGGTGTAGGGTTTCTGTTGACCGCTTTTCGGTCTTTGGTGCGGCTGTTTTTTTTTGGCGGTCTCGCTTCGGTGGCGTTTGTGCAGGTTGTGGCTTTTGGTCCCTCTGGCTTTGATGGCTTTTGGATGCAGCCTTCATTATCCTTCATTTTATTGTTTCTGCTTTTATAGTTATTCCCTTTCCTGGAATCGATTCGTTGTCCTTCTCATGCGCAATGTGTAATTGTCCTTCCCATGTCGTCGCATGTCCCTTTCATGATACCTTCATGCTCCTTCTAAATGTCCTGACTCTTCTTGTTTTCCATTCCTCCTCTCGTCTTCCCAGAGTCCTTTTCGAACACTTCCAGGCGTCACACCGGGCCGGACGGAACGACCGGATCCACACGGCTCGACCGGAGCTGCGCAGCACCGAGACGTCGGTTGCGCAGCTGAAGCATGCACCCAGAGTCATGGTCCCGGTTTGTTCGAATGAAAGAGACATTTGATTGGCTGTTTGAATGTGCTAGCCTAGGCAAAGTGGCCCAGAGAATGCTTGACAAGACTGAACAGCGATCACCTCAAATGAAGTAGTTGAGGAGTCCAGAGACTAAAATAGAGACAGAGACAGACAGAGAGAGAGAGAGAGGTGGGGAAGTCATGAGATTTTGGTGGAGTTTGATTATCAGTTGTTGTTTTGTTCCCATGGCAATGGTTTGCTTGATGAACTGTGACAACCTCTTCTGGCATTTCCTTCTGGGTTGCACCTGCAGGTCTTTGAAGCAATTGGATAGTTGGAAGCTGCGACTGGGCCGCTCAGCCTCCTTTGGTGAGGTCGTGAATCGTGCAGAGCTTGTAAACCAATAGATTCAACATCTGAGTTTGTTTCAAAAAGGCATAAGAACAGACAAACCAGAACAATGGGACAATGGGTGTTGTTGCCTTTGCCTTATAAAGTGGTGTTCTGTCAGAACCCGTGCTTTCTTTCCTTAGTTCTAGCATGATTGAGATGTTCATTGATGAAGCGAAACGCGCCAGCGTCGTGTAAATAGCTGCCCGCTGAGCAGTATTGAAACCGCTGTTTTTGAAAAATTTCCTCCGGATCAACAAGTCCGTAGGGGACAGACACGGATCACATTCGCGCAGGCGCACCCTGTAGAAAGGCCCCTCTGTCAATCTGGTTGGTGAAACAAGCTCTTTTGAGAAACAACAAACAAAGATGTCCGATCTCTGGAATAAAAAAGAAGCATCTCCAAAAGGGACTGCTTGTAAGAGTTTTGGCTCTCTCTATTCCACAGAGCCTGCCGCGGCGGCTTTCAGCACTGCTTCGGTCCGAGACCACCCAAAACACGGGCGTTTTTTTCTGTCCCGGCTGCAAAGTAGCCGCTTTTTTGACAGCAAAGTTGCCAGAGATCAATCTGTTTAATGTGCTTCAGTGCTCCTCAAAGGAGATTTGGGCCGTGATCTGATGCAAGAGCAAAAGAGCTGTGTGAAGGAGCGACCCTTGGGGTCATGAGCGGTACTGGTCGCACGAAAGTCGTGTCTGCATGCGAGTCTGCATCAGTCTGCATCACTTCAGAGTGTGAGGTAGTGAGAAACTCATCGGTCGGCTTCTTACACCAACTGACTTGCAGCGTCAAAAGCGCTGTGTCTTCGGCCGTGAAACAAGCTCTCGCAGCAACTTGGCTCAACTGCCCAAGCATGTGCCAAAGCACTAAGCACAGTTTAGATGGTATTTCCAGCCCAAGGAAGCACGGTATTGTATATACCTTCTTTTCCACCCGTGGCGTGGTACAGGCGAAATCGCCCTCTTTCGCCCGAAGTGGTACGGTGCACCGACCGCAGGCTGGTGTTTTTTTCCACCCAAACCAGCAGCAGTCCATTTGCGCCATGGCGACGAACTGGTTCGGATCTGCTCATGAATCGGCCTTTGCCTTGGCGAAAAGCGGATGGGGTTGATTAGCAGGCAGAGGAGGAACCTGCTGCAGTAAGGACTTCTTCATTAGTCTCCAGTGAGTGTGTGTGTGTGTTGTGTGTTGTATGTGTGTGTTTTGCACGGGCATGCGGCATGTTCTGAAACTGTTCAGAATGTTTCTGCAATAAGGTTACCAACGCCATTGCCAATGCACCAAGTTTGCAAGCTGTGGCGGAGAACCTGGGAATCAAAGATTTTCATCAGTCAGGGTGTCTCAGATTGAGAGAACTGGAGAAGACAAGAGATGATTTTCAAACACCAAGCTACATAGTGTTTTTTAATTGTGGTGAGCTACAGGATGATAAAACACTGAACAATTAAATAGTTGTTTGATTTTGTTTAATGGTTACATCAAGCAATGATTAGGTGATTTCTACACAGAATGGTAATTCGCTGCAGATGGGCCTCGGCCAAAGCGTTTGACCTGCACTCAGCAGTCCACGAGCAGGCACGTTTCAATGCTATAGAGTTGGGTTGTCAGAAGGAACCTCATGAAAGAAATCGAAATCAAATGGCCTTCCTGCAAAAGAGGGCCACAGAGGATAGTTCGTCCGCATCTGAGCTGTGTCTTGGAAAGGGTTGCAGAATTGTCAACTTCGGGAATCTCGAACGCGATGCCTATCCACGGCAGGAATTGTCCCAAGCCAGCCACTCGTGGCGTCGTTTTCGTCCTCCTCGTTTCGTGGTCGAGCCACTGGCTGCCATGGGGAGTGCTTTGGCCTCAGAGCCTCAGTGCGAAGCAGCAGCTCCCGCACCAAAGGTAGAGGTTGGCAGGGTTGCAAAGGTTGCTCCTGTGGTCACTCCCTTCAATCACCCTGATGCCCATGAGTTGAATGGTATGAGAGCAGCTGCCAAGCAGACCTATGATGCCCTACCACGAGATGGCAAAGAGATTTGGAAAGCCATGAGCACCACCATTTCAAACACTTTGTCAGCTGGAGTAGTTCATTTTGAGTCCAAACTAAAAAATGAGCTTGGGATACAAATTGGGGACTGCCAACTTGACCGTCAAGCTGGATCTCAATGGGTCCTGCGCTTTGGATCGAGCTGGAATCCCTACTATGTCTCCGTTCGAGCAGAAGTGCTTGGCAGCAGCGGTTCGGAGTTGCTGTCGGAGTTGAAACGCAAAGCCAAGACAGTCAAAAGCACGCTTCTGGATCATGGAGCTCAATGGCTACGTGATTTGACCAAGTCACATAGCACCAAGGCTAACTTCTTGAAGGCAGTGCAGGAGAGGGAGCGCTCAAGCAGCAAAGGTAAAGGAAAAGGCCATAAGGGCAAGACACCGCACAGCGACTGCAGTGATGAAGATGAAGATGAAGTTTGTCATATTTGCTGGAAGAGCATCAGGCGAGATCTTCTGGGAGGCAAGCACATGTGCCGCATCGTGGTGCAGTTCACTTGTTGTGGGAAATGGACTAGCCACTCTGGCCGCTATAATGTTGAGGAGGGCAGAGTGATGGGGCAGAGGTGTCAGCGCTGTGGGCACTATGGCCAGCCATCGAAAAAGTGGAGCTTCGCAAAGGAGCACATTGCCGTAGATGGCGAAGATTCGAAGAAGGCGCACCGCGAAGACCTGTGCGAGGCGTGTGAGAGGTATGGAAACTGCCGGGGAGCCTTTTTTGATCCATTTCAGATGGCCATGGCAGTTCAAGCATACACTGGTCGGCCTGCGCAGTGGTCCCGATACCAAGGAAGTGACTTGTGGATTACGGAGGTGGACCGGCAAATTGTTGTTTTGCGACCACATGTGTTCCTTTCAGGAAGGAAGGTTGCCTGAGCCAAAGCACCTCAAGAGCAGGGAGCTTGGCCTAAATTTGCGAGCTATGAAGCTGACTGAGATAACCGCGGTTCAACAAACTTAAAGTTTGGGGATTGCTCGAAGACGACACTAACAACACGCCCCGTTGTTTCAACGCCCACGCAAGTCACGCAAGTGCTAGCCGCTAGATGTTGCTCGCAGGCAGTCGAGTTAGTGAAGACCAAGGTGGGCATGGGTGAAAGAGCACTCTTCATGTCGATGTGGCCGAAAGGCCTTGAAGAACCAGAAACAAGGACCCACAGGTTCTATATCCTTTTCATCCTTGTTTCCTTTCATCACCCGGCTTACTGGATTGTACCCGATGTTTTTGTTCACTCTTGCCAGGCTTATTCCAGAAACGCATCGGTTTAACGCATCGGTTTCCGCAATGACTGAGGTGAAGGGAGAGTTCGGGAACGAAGTCATCGACATGCTGGATGCTCTTTCCGAATGCATGCGGAAGATTTCAGAGGTGACCGTCGCAGACGCTACGGCTACGCCGCTACGCTTTCAGAGGGTGTTTTTTTCAGATGGATGGTCCATGGGATGGGGTGCACCTGTTGCGGGATGTTGCGGGTGCACCTGTTGCACGCACCGGTTGGTTGCCCGCCCTGGTCGGATCAGGAGAAATCCCCCCTTGTTGGTGCAAGATCCATGTGGAAGAACAGACAGCAACCCACATAGTTGAGTTAGTAACTGGAGTGGGATATGGAGTCATATATGGAGTCTAGGAGGTATCCTGAATGAAAGACACGAAAGGATATGAAAGGTACATATATGGCCGCTTTAAGATCAATACAGAAAGCCGCAGAAAGCACATGTCACACCTGCACAGGAAGGCTCTCAAGTCTCAACTTTCCTGTCAGACCATAGATTTTCTGAATGGAATGCAAAGCACGGCATAGCGGTCCCGACCAGCATGCATCCCTGTCATGTTTTTTTGTCATTAGAAGAGAAAAACCCGTCAATTCAATAACCTGCTTTTCGATGATCGAAGGAGTTGAAGCTGAAGGAGGCCAAGTTTGGCATTACGTTGGCACTTCCGTTGGCCGCCAGCTCAGCCAAGAGCTGGCCCTTTTCAGTCGACTCATCTAAGCCTCTAAGCTGGACCAGATCCAGACATCCAGATCCAGTCCACCTGAGGTCTCCATGCAGCATAACATGCTGGAACGTCCCGACGTCGAAGGACTACCCCGCATGACTCGCCACTGCCTCAAAGTTCCCAGAATTGCTTGAAGGGAACATCCACAGGGTTCACCCTGATCCGTAGATGGACCCGTCAACCAATTCTGTAAGCGTTCTCTTCAACATCGCATCGCTACCAAAGCACAGTGCCATCGCATCGCCCCGCCAGGACTTTTGACCGACCGGGCGTTGCTGGACGAAGCGGCGTATTGGGTGCCGACGCCGAGTCCGGACGTGACCCGGACGGGACCCGGTGGACGGACATCGACCGGGGACATCGAGGCGTGGGACATGGGCGACCCGGAGACGGTGCCGGGGTGTCAAAACCGGAAGACACAGCCGACACAGCCAAAGGGTGAAGAGCTGCGGTGTGGGTTCGAGCGGCGATGTCAGGTGGATTTTGCTGCGGGAGCCTATGGTAAGGAGGACATCAAGGGCTATGACAAAGCCTCGGTGAACGTGGCGATTGGTGAGAAGCGTGGACCTATGAAACTGCACTGCGCCATTGGACGACTCATGGAAGGAAAGAAGAAACTACATCACCGTAGACCCCAAACAGTTTGTAATTTTCAAAATCGGAACTCTCTGCAACTAGAGCTTGCGACGTCCAGAGCTGGGAGACAAAGGATTGCAAGGCAGAGGCGGCCACAGCAGTCCAGAGCTGGGAGACAAATAAAGGATTGCGAGGCAGAGGCAGATACAGCAGTCTAGAGCTGGGAGACAAATGCAAAAGGATTGCGAGGACAAATGTAAAGGATTGCAAGGCAGAGGCGGACACAGCAGCTCAGAGCTGGGAGACAAATGTAAAGGATTGGAAGGCAGAGGCGGACACAGCAGCCGAGAGCTGGGAGACAAATGTAAAGGATTGCAAAGCAGAGGCGGACACAGCAGTCCAGAGCTGGGAGACAAAACATGCAGCCTAGAGCTGGGAGACAAATGTACAGGGCAGAGCAGTCCAGAGCTGGGGGACACATGTGAAGGGTTGCAAGCGAGAGGGGGGGAGCATGTAGAGGATTGCAAGGCAGAGGCGGACACAGCAGCCCCCCAGACAGAGCAACCAGCTGGGAGACAAATGTTAAAGGATTGCAAGCGAGAGGCAGACACAGCATTGTGAAGGATTGCAAGTGAGAGGCGGATACAGCAGCCCAAACTGGGAGACAAATGTCAAGGATTGCAAGCGAGGGGCGGACACAAACCCGACTACAAGCACCCAGCTGAAAAGAAGTGGGAGGCAAAATGAAAGGAAGTGGGAGACAAGCCAGCCAGGAACCCGACTACAAGCACCCAGCCTCAAAGACAAATGAAAAGAATTGGGAGACAAGTGAAAAGAAGTGGGAGAAATGAAAGGAAGTGGGAGACAAGCCAGCCGGGAACCCAGCCCGGGAGACAATGAAAAGAAGTGGGAGACAAATGAAAAGAAGTGGGAGCCTGGCAAACAAATGAAGAGAACTGGAAGACAAATGAAAAGGAAGTGGGAGACAAGCCAGCCGGCAACCCGACCACAAACACCCAGCCTCAAAGACAAATGAAAAGAACTGGGAGACAAATGAAAAGAAGTGGGAGACAAATGAAACGAAGTGGGAGACGAATGAAAAGAAGTGGGAAACAAATGAAAGGAAGTGGGAGACAAGCCAAGGAAGTGGGAGACAAGCTGGCTGGGAACCCGACCAGACCATCCAGCACCAAGGCGACCATCTTTAAAGCATTGAGAACCCCTAACAGTAAACTGTTTGGGGAATGAAAAGAATGAACCAAGGCTGAGTCAAAAGATGTCAAAAGAGCTAGTCATCCTTGCTCATGCCAAGTTTAAATTCGTGCTGAGGGCATTTCTTGCCCCTGGCCTATTCCCGTCCCTGTGCAAAACAAAAGCAGGTTCCAATCAAAAGCTTGAAATGTAGGGCCAAAGATATGTGGCCACAGTAGTATAAGCGGCCACGAGCCAAGGTCAGGAGTGGAGGTAACAGTGGCGTATCTTCCGGCAAAAGGCCTGAAGTTGCTGCAGTGGAACTGAGATTGGCATGTAAAAACATGAGGAAAACCGGGAAAATTGTAAAAAAAACAAAGACGAACAAAAAGATGAACTGGTGAGATTTCAGATGGCTCCATGACGAGCTGTAGGTGTTCAAATGCCTGGGCACTTTGTAGCTGTGGACAGGACGGGTTCCGCTTCGTCTGTGGGCAAGACGGGGTCTTCAAGAACAATAGCGGCTATCGTGCGTGCGAAACGTCCGATTAGATAACTGGTTTGTTTGTCGTTCGTCCAGAAACGCTCCGCACGTCCGGTGGAGGCCATCGCTATTCGGGTGGAGGCCATTGCCAATTTTAATAGCAATGGTCTCCACCCGAATTGCGATGGCCTCTACCGGACGTGCGGAAGTCGTGTCGCTGTCAGAAACGCGGTTGACGTGACCTGGGGCCGGCCCCCACCAGTGGTTTCTGGCGCTTGCGAGGGGCCCGAGGGCTCAGTCCGCTCGCAGGAACAATCGAGAAGTGGTTCTGGGCATTCGTGGTACGACCACCCTGTCCGACGCGCTCACGGATGCCGTGGGAGAAGCCACGCAGGCGCCTCCAGTTCCGATGCCATGGATGCGGCTCTTGCGCAGCGGTAAGAAGTTTGGGAAAGAAGTGATGATGCAAATTGAACAGATTGGAGTTTGGAAGCACACACTTGGTCGTGTTTCCCCAGGTGATTGATTCGTTGATTTCCTAATTATGCTATTTAGATACTTTCGGACCAACAACGACAGCCCACCAAGAAGGCCTTTCCCATTCCTGTTTCCCAACCGACTCGAGGTTCCAGGCTGCCCTGGTCTACTGGCGCACAAAGCGATGTTGGTCTGGCCCTTTCGATCTACTTCAGGAAGACGACTGAGACGACGTGCCATTCTGTGTCGTTCGACAACGTGCCGTTCTGTGTCGAGGCCAGTGCACAGGCCGTTCTTGAAAAGACACGGCCTGCACTGGAACAAGCACTGCGTGATCACTCAGGTTGGGGATTGGCATCGACATGTCTGGTGTTTCTGCATCTGACTGACTGCTTCGAAGGGAATGGATGGATCCAAAGGAATCTGCACACCCTCATTCCCTCATTCACTAAGCAGTCAGCTGATTTAAGAAATGTTTCAGCATGTCGCAGCAATCTCTCATTCGTGGGCGCTTTGATGAGCTTTGCGGAGGTTTCTCCTTGGTCATCACTGGACACAGCTTGGGTGCTGGGACGGCGATTCTTTGCACTGTTCTACTGTCGGCAGAATGCTTGGAGTGAAGATGATACGTCTTGTGGGTGAACACCCTGAGTAGACTATTTCACGCGTTTCCTGGTCAGTTTGCTGAATGATTGCACTTTTTGACTATATAATACTGTATACTGGTTACCATGAACTGACCCCTAGCCCAAAGAGCCGCCCGGGGCAGCGCGCCGACGGCCCACCAGGTGACACCCTTGAAGGCAAGGCCGCGCATGAGATGCTTCGCCTATGCGCCACCACCTGTGATCGGTCCATTGGAGCACAGGAGTCTACGCGTTGCTTGGCGCACGACGTGGGTGGATGGGAGGATAAGGGTGAGGGGGCCGAACGCATGAACACATAAACGAAGGATCGAGGTGGTTTGAAGGAACTACCTGGACATCGTGGACTTGTATGGACTTTTTGGAGTCATTATGGATGTATATACAAGGGTAGATACTGTATAGTTCATTCGATGGGATACGATATGGCTAGTGACATGGATGTGTGTCCGAATGTAAAAAGAAGCAACGCCCCCATAAAGAAGAAACCAAACAAACCACCAAAGGGTCCAGTCCCCTTCATCATCCATCTGAGCGAATTATTGCGAGCTCACTTCGCGAGGTACGAGGTAGAATAATTTCAAAACAAAATTATGCGAGGTAAGTCCAGCACCAGGACTCCACCAAGCCAAGCAGCCTTCTTGACGTCTCAGGCCCTAGCCAGGCCTACTGGGTAAGGAACCTGTGCTGAGCAGCTCAAATAGGCAAGCCCCAAGAAACAATCCTATTTTGGCGAAATAGGATTTCATGATTGGGGATTGGTTTGCAGCCTTGTTGATGTTGTCTTAAGCCCTAGCCAGCCCCACTAGGTCAGGAAACTGTGCTGAACAGCTCAAATAGGCAAGCCCCATAAAACAACCCTATTTTG